AAAAATTAAAACACCACAGAAACGCCAGACACTTCCTACTGTGGCCTGCAGAAAAACAAAAAAGTTTCCTTAACAACAAACATTCTCACCTCCTCCATTTTAGCCAGTGTTATTGATTTATTGTCAGCCGGTGGGAGCTGGATGTGCTTACTCAGGCCTCCATCCGCAAGTGGGCGCACTCTGCAAAAAACTCTAATATTGCCCTGCAAAAATGCATAGAAAACAAATATCACTAAGCAGAGTACAATGTGCTTGTTGCAAAAACACAAGGATTTAGTTTTTCCATTGCTAATAAGCACAAAAATAAAAGGGAGAAAAAAAATCCAAAAATTGTTACAATCCTAACAGAGTAACTATGCAGCAGTTAACCAAGCTTACAGATCAGTTCAAATCCCTTTCATGGTGCTGCCACTGGGCTATGCTGGGTGCTTCCCTCAACACGGGAACTTGCCTTGAGCTCCTGGATGGTGTTGTGGAGTTGCCGACGTTCCATCTCTCCGGCATGAAGCTCATCCTTCTGCTGGACCACAGTCGCTTGGAGGGAGCAGATCTGTTCTTCTTTCTCCCTGAGAGATACATGCAGGTGGGCCAGAGTGGACTCCTGCATCGAAACCTTCATCTGGAGAGGACAGAAAAAACAAAAAAACCAACAACATGGACATGCAATAAACATCCATACTGTACTAATTCACAGGTTAAGTATGCCGTTAGCTCCATTAGCCAGGACACCGACTCAGGTCTGCCAAATGGCATATTTATGTCATAATACCACATAGCCACAATACACAGCATTAGCTGAACTGCAGCAGACTTTTACCCTCAAAGTTTGCAGCTCTGTCTCTTGAGCATTTGTGAGAGTCTCCATGACTTTATATTTGGATTGTAAGTTGGAGAGTTCACTGGAGACTTTCTCAAGCTCTTCACGAACCCCAGCGAGGACCTGAAGCTCTCCCCGATACTCGCTAAAAATCAGTGAAGAGAAAGGACATTTAATACACACCAAACAGACAAATTAGCAACAATATAATGACAGTGAAGTGTTTCATTTTCCAAATAAAATGGTTCTTTCACCGGATCTGCTTCTTCTGACTCTCGAGCTCCATCTGCATTTCAGCCACCCTTGCTTGGCTCAGGGCTACCGAGTCTCTCAGAAGTTCATTTTCCTGGTTCGTAGATTTGTACTTGGTCTGGTAGTTGCGGAGCTTGTCCTCCATGTCACTGACCTTGCCCCTAAGGTCCCAGGGATCCCGTCGGGGGGGCCTGGCCCCACCTGTACACAATGGCATCACCAACAGGTGTGACTGTTCCATAAGACCCAGAGTGGTCCTCGGTTTGTTTGTTTTTTTTACAGAAGAGATGTGTCACAGCAGTTAAGGCTTAATTCCATTTAGCTGTGTCAGTTTCAGGATTCTGCTATTGTTCATGCTGACTAACTGTCTCTGTCATGGCAAGTCAAACTATCTGCCGTAAGAAAAAGGCCTATTCAAGACCGTGCACTGAGACAACATCTTATTCTCCAGGCAAAGACAGATGCTAAACTGATCTCACCTGCTTTTGCAGCAGTGGATGCAACAGGTTGTCTCATGTTGCCTCCATTTGCTGCAGCTGAAGATGATTTCAGGACACCTGGTGGAAACATGCAGAAAAACGAATAGATGTCCATTTATACCAGATCTGTTAACTTTGGAAAAAAATAAAATAAAATCTTGTCCTTATAATGAACCCAAAGAATTTCTGCATTTTTGTTACCGGTATACAATTTGTGAACTAATGTCTGTTTAATGGAGAAAGAGCCTAATCTGGGATTTAAAATAAATAGCATGTATATAGAAATAAAATACAAGCTTATGCACTGTCCTCTGTCATCCAGCTGACAGGATATCTTACCTCTGGAGGGGCCTGCAGCCACAGTGGCAGCTCTGGTACCTCTCACTGATTTGGCTGTGTAAGGCAAAATGAAACAGAGATTTTGCCCAAGTCAGACAAAATAATAGGAAAGAGGAAACTCAAAATAAAAGATAGGCTGCCTTAACATGAGCGAGGATAAATGAGAGCATCCTTTGCGTAAGTCTCTTGTGGACCGACATGCCCCCCTTTAGCAGAAATCACTTGGTGACTGGACACTTTACATGAAGGATTAGTTTCTCCCCTGACATTTTCCTTGCATCTCATGTAGTCAGGGGTAAGACAAGAAAAGATGTGAGTCAGGGAAATTTGCTGGTGCGCTGGACGCTGGAACAGGAGGCCGCTTGCTAACCACCACAGTGGCTGCAGCCTGCGGTCTGACTGCTTCTGCATCATTACGCTTTTTCTTCTGTAAAACACAAAAACACCACCAGCATAAAGCACGAGCAGTGATTACATTTTTCTGGGCAATAGCAATTATTTTTCTTGCAATTTTTCTAATTCTTGCACACCAATTACTCATTATTATTGGGAATGTAATGTAATTATTATTTAAGTGTGAAATATTACAGGTAGAATGCCTGACAATAGCACATGTACAGTTCGTGTATAGCAGCAGAATATAAGTAGCAGAAAATGAACAGAGATGAAATTACAGCTGTAGCTCATTCCTGGTACCAACCTGAGCCGGCTCAGTCTCCAAGTCTTGGCCAACATCTGAACTGCTGCGAGCAAAGACCCTCTTGTTTGACATGACTGGCAAGCGAGACATTATCTGTTGAGGTTTAAAAGATAAATCACGGTCAAAAAGTGTCACCACAAGAAAATAATAAATAAAACAGCATCTCACAACATTTATCTGGCACAGGAGCATAGTCAGTCCCAGTCTAGGTTAGGGTTATGTTATATAAATTAAGAAAAGACATACACATGCAAGTGTCCACTTGGGAGACATTAACAGTGTGTTATTGTGCAGCTGATAATGTCAGAGACCATCTTCCGGTAACCTTTTCGCAACTAAACATGTATCGAATAGTGGATAACCTAGACTACATTAACGCCGCAGTAAGCCATGTAAAGCCAAACAAGATAAACAACGTTAACGTTAATTAGCTAGCTAAGTTATCATTTACTGCCGTTAGCTTGAGCATATAAACAGCTAACACTACGTTAAAATCAACCGTATTTGTATCATCGTAAGAGTCGTATCGTTTCTGAACAAAATCAGAATCACTTTAAATAATGAGAATAACGAAATCATTCATTTATGGGACTACTTACTTAATCAACGATTTAAAAAAAACTCTCAGACCCAATCTCCTTATATCGCCAACTGTTAGAATTTGAATTTGAACCGTCTTGGTGGTGGCGCTTTCTTTGAGCCCCCGCGATTGGTTGAACCAGGGGAAATCCCGCCTACGTATTTTTGTTTGCTTGTTGCGTTGAACGGAGAGTCCCGCTTGGGCGGCGCTTAAACATTTCGCATAGTTTGCCTTTGCAATGAGAGCAAAATGATATGTGAGGAGCTAAAGAACCACATTTTTTGCCTTACTATTTTTGTTTAATAATTTTATCAATCATATTTTAATCGATTCTCTTTCATTGTTACATCATTGTCCAGGCTTTGTATTTTTCACTTAGACCTTGCCCAACAGTACAACTGACTTCACACTAACATTTGAATTGAGTTGGATTTTCTCAGGTGCTCAGAGTCAAAGTGCACCACATAGTGTTCAAGTACCCAGAATTAGTCTGTTCAGATTCTCAGTCATCCAGGTCATAGTAAGCTGAAAAAACTTAGAACAAATTAACTGGACTAGATTTCTAGGTTGAAGACGTTTGAAACCAGATGAAGCTTCTTGGATGAGAGGTCAAACGTCTTCGACCTAGAAATCTAGTCCAGTTGATTTTTTCTAAGTTTTTTCAGCTACCCAGAATTTGCAATTTCCAAATCACAGGAGGCTTATTACTTTCATCAGTCATACATTGTTTTTGAAATTTATTCTCAAGGGAAGAAACCATCTGTTCAGATGAGCCAGAGGTGTAATTGTCCACACACTGTATGGTCTGGCATGAGAGGGCAGTTATTAACTATTATTATCAGAAGCATTAATAATAACACTACCAAGAATATTGACAATGTGTTATTTTTCGTAAAAAGACAATGAAATACAAGGAGGATACATGAAGACAGTCAGCCAGTCATCCAGGCTGCTTGAACATTTTAATTGGGTAGAGAGCTGCACAAACATGCCACCAGTGTCCTGGGTCACCTTAGTCACAACCTCGTTTCATGTTAGTCATTAAAGTATAGATGGCTTCCCACCCTGATCATTTGTACAAGTGTGCATGAAGGACCTCTCACAGGCGATCAGTGTTAAAAACTGGTTTTCTGATTGCACAAGTTCACTTTTGCAGTGTCACAACATCCTTGTCTAATAAGCCAAATAACAGGCCAATTTACCCAACTTTTCCAGACTTCCTAGGCCCAGAGCTGATCATTCTTTGCAGACAGTGCTGAGCCTAGTGTTCATGGTGCATCAGCACTAAAGGTGACCTGGGACACAGCCAGTGATTTGGTACTTGTTGATTTGAATTCCTGTAGTTTCCACATATGCTTTACACAGGACATACTTCCCTGTAACAGATGAAAAAGTCTTCTATCTATTTTATGTACAGCATACTGCAATACAATAATGCCTGGATTGATAATAATGTGGATAACATTTGCAATACATTTATAATGAAAGTAATAATATGTATGAAATGTTCCTTAAAAAAGTTTGATAACAGTACCTGTCAGCCGTTTTTATCACACAATAATTATTTCCCCAACAAACACTGCGACAATGACTAGCTGTCTTTACTCATTAGAGGATAGTAAACTGCCTTTTGCTTTGAACAGTAATAAAACAGTGGGACAAAATGCTCTGTTAGGACGCTTCTCTCTGTGCCCTTCACATTCATGCACTCACTTTGCTTTCTCTCTGAGCTTGTTCACACGATCATCTGTTGGTAGAAAAATACATACATATGATATATAAAAAAAAGTACAATGATGACAAACATAGGTGTGAAGTACAAGCTTCATCAAGTGCTTTCTTTATGACCCCTTCCACCCCACCACCCCCTTCTCTCTCATTTCCATTGGGTTCCTCACTTTTAGTGCATTCTCTCTTCAGTTCAACACTTTGGGCTCCGACACAGACATGGCTCTGCGCTCCTCGCTGTCTGAGGGGAGGTGGGTGTAAATAAGGACATCATGAGTTGTAAAATGAACGCTTTGAGCTTCAACCACAGGCTGTAGCCTAATCCCACAGTGCACCATGTTCTTATCCTCCTGCTGCTCCTCTTCCTTTGTGGTGTTTTTCACAGGCTTCAACCTCCAGCCTCTGGCACCTTGGTAGTGTCATTCCAGCCCATTCAAAACAAATTAGTCCTTCCTCCTTATTCATATCAATACAACTGTCCTGTTTCAGTTGCTACTGTGAATCTCTAGTCCCGTCACTGATTCCTTGTCTTCTTTCCCTCCCTTGTTCGGCTTGAACTAAACAGTGGAGAATGTTCGGACTGTGATCTGAATGGGTTCAAACATTACACCATTCTTTAGATCACAAATATGCAAAGAATAGTGTAATTTTTTTTTTAGCATTTTACAGATATTTTACACCTTCATCCTCCAGTGACACCTATTGCAAAAAATGCAATAAAAAAGAGTAGGGACACCAGTGAGCCACATTTGCCAGTATCCTCAGAGCAGCACAGCTGGTTCAGGATCAGTGTATTAAGTGTTTTACACTGACTCATATCTGAGAAAAGGTGAAATTAGACTAAAGATGCTTTTGAGAAAATTGGCTTTGGAGGAATGTGGATCCAAACTGAAAAATAAAATGCCTCTATCCGTGTCCTAGACCAGAACTTCTACTGAGAGATACTTGGCACAAGTAGGCTCAGGAATCGAGAAGCATACTGTAAAATATCTGTTTTCTAACAAGTAATTTAATGTGCATTCAGCATTATAGCTTCTTAGTATGAAGAAACAAATGCCTTTGGGTGAATTAAATTTCTCTTGTATCTTTGAACATGGCCTTTTCAACCCCTTCCAAATTAATGTCAGTCAAAATCACAGGAGAGTGAATCTAAACTGATCCCACTAGTGTTTTAATGCATGTTCAAATTTAGTAAAGTATAAATACGCCATATTATTTGCATCTTGACAGCACAGTGGTAAAATTTCCAAGGGATCAGCCATGTTGTTTGAGGAAGACTAGAACACTGAACACAGTTGAATAACTTGCTCACATGGACATGTTTACATTGCAGACACGATTAGTAATTCATCAAATACAGTGGGAAGACGCCGCCTACGAGTTCATGTGCTCCACCTGTATAGCTGATGTGGAGACAGTGAGGTGGGGGCCCGCGGGCAGGCCCGCCACAGTGACTGGTTTGTACTGGATCTCACGGGCTGCCACTGTCTTGTACTGGTGCAGGTCAAACGGGCACGGGACCACAGCTTCCGTGGGCTGCTGAGGTGGCTGGTAGCTGCCTGGGGGTCCAGGGTTAGGGTTCTGGTTGGTACTGTTAGGGTTGTTCTGGCTTTGGAGCTGCCCCGCTCTGCCTGCACCTCCTCCTCTCCCTCGGCCACGGCCTCGGCCCCTGCCCCCTCCTCCACCTGGTGTAAGGCCCTGGGCCTGCTGAGCAGCTACTGTTGCTGCCACTGTTAGCGGGTCAGGGTTGTGTTTCCTCATGTGTTTCATTAAATATGTCTCCTAAAGTTGAGGAGAGATGGAGAGAGAAAACACAATAGGGGAAAGAAAAAACACAACAAAGTTATCTGCTGGTTCCATACCTATACAGACAAATCACACATTCAGTAAAGCTGGCTCATGTGAGCTGCCTGACTAAGAAAGGTTTTGCAAAATCTATCTTAAAGAAAAATGACTACGTTCCTACTGTAAACATTAGTGATGTGTTACATTCCAATAATGTCTAATATATGTTAAATATGTATTTTTTAAAAAGTCTGCATTAGTGCATAGACCACACAGGATCATCGTCTGTGCTAAAATGGGCTTGTACATTAAAATAAAAATATTAGTGGTAGTGAGTGATGTTTGGTTACAGCTGATCAAAGTCAAACTTGACAAATGATGTGAACGTGAGGTCAGTAGGGGCGAATGCAAGACAAGTCAGTAATAAATCTGTGTAATCAAATACCTTAATTCTAAAAATATTCAAGCTACAACTCTAGCTACTGATTAAATCAAAACCTGTTCAACATAAAGTCCTGGAAGTCACAAAGCTAAACTTATATTTATTGATCCGCTCCCTCTTTATGTCTGTGCATCCTGTGACTATGTCTGAGAACCTACCGAGGTGTAGGATCGGTTACAGAGGCCGCAGGAGAACAGCTTGGCATGTTTGACGGTGTGTGTGGACAGGTGCACCTCCAGGCTCGCAGCATCTGTGTAACCACGGTTACAGTTATGGCACTTGTACGGCTTGTCTTTGTTGTGCTGCCGACGGTGAGACTGTGGAGACAGGAGAGTTGGGAAAACAAGAACATTGGATTTGATCCTGGAACAGCGCACAAGGCAAAACATTAACGATTTCGGCATTTACAAAATCAAAGTCTTACTTGAGCAAGGCACAAGCCTGTGAATGAATGTACCTGTAGGTTGGACAACTGAGTGAAAGCCTTTTCACAGCCAGGGTGGTTACACTTGTACGGTCTGTCACCAGTGTGAATCCTACAAACATCGGTTACACACACCATTACCACAAACACCACTTACCCAAAGCAACATTGTATGTACCGCAGCTAATTCAAACCTGGGGTGCTTGTTCCTCCTTAGATGTCTATCATTCAAAATTAACATATTAAGAGTATTTCAATGGCATTAAGATCTTGGCAGCTTTGCTTGCTGTCTTGTATTTTAGTTTCCTCAACAGTTCTTTTGCTACATGGGTTATACTTACTATTCTGTGATATGAGCTGTTTTATTTATACCTCTACATACATCGTAGGTACACTTAGACCACCATTTCAAAGCTGTGTTCCACAGCTTTGAAATGGTAAATATGGCAGTACAATCTAACATATTAAGCCATCCAAGGCAGGAAATTAGCACAAACCAGATCTGGGCTGTGGCCAACAGGTTGTTGATGTAAAGTCCATTAACAAAACAGCATGCTTCCCAAATCTGAAAGATGCTATAAACACACACAATGCCATAGCTCTCCACACACTAGCTCCCAGACAGGCACACATAAAGACCACTCAAACCCGCCCAGCCCAGTACCGTGTGTGCTGCTGTAGGTGACTGAGCTGCCTGAATGTTTTCTGGCAGTAGGAGCAGGTGTAGGGCTTGGCCCCGGTATGGATGCGGATGTGCTGGGACAGGTAGCTGGAGTTGGCAAACGACTTGGAGCAGTGGGGGCACTTGTGGGGCTTGGCCTCAGTGTGGTTTCTAACACGGGAAGCCAGGATTGGAGGGTTGAGGGGGTGGAGAGAGAGAGAAACAGAGAGAGAAACAGCGAGAGATTTTTAAGCTACAGCATGACCAAAATTCACGAAGAATCGAAGACCAAATCATGCGCTAAAGTTAACAGGATCTAGGATCAATCGCGTTGATCCTAGATCATTAAGTTTGACAGTGTGCTCTTTGTGCTGTGTCTGAGTTGTGAAAACACAGAACAAAAACATACAGCAAGCACAGTCACGCTTTTCTCTTTCTCTCTCTCTCTCTCGCAGTCTCTCTCTCCATTTGGTGTGCCCTGCCTTGAGTGGAGTGTGAGTGCGTCTGTGCATGTCTGGCTCTGCTGCAGTCAAACTTAAATGTACATTCAAGCCGAGTGACAAGCCACTGGAGTGCAGCTTCCTGTTTAGAATTAATGGTGTGAAATCCCCAAAGAAAACCCAGTGCAATGGCAATAACTGAAATGGAAACATGAAGAATGACAAGGTCAAACATAAAATGAAAACATTTATCAGAGTTGTGACAACATGTACTGACACTGAAGTAAAAGCCTTCTCAGTGTGTGATTAGTGGCTCTGTCCCTTTTGGAGACAGGATCATGAAGGTGTGCAAAACATGCAGGATAACTCAGTGCAGTAAAGACAAGTGCAGATGACAAGGAGGATGTATTGATTTACAGTTAGTATACCAGGTGTACACACTTCCATCCATCCATCCATCCATCCATTATCTATACCACTTATTCCTGAATAGGGTCACGGGGGGCTGAAGCCAATCCTAGCTGACATTGGGCAATAGATGGGGTCCACCCTGGACAGGCCGCCAGGCTACTGTACACACAGTTGTGGGGTTTAAATACAACACTGAGTTTCACAATAGCTTCATTATCTAATGATCAAATTTTAACCATTGTCGCAACCTGTTTCAATTTTTACAGCTTTTTTTTTGCTTGACATGAACTTCAACTGAAAAGGAGGATGTGTTGAATAATAAATAGCTCCAATGACAGTGAACAGTCTCCAGCAGGTGCTTCAACCCAGAGTGAATGTTCAAACAATCTGTGTGACCAAACTTCATGACCCAAGGAAAACGAAGGCCAACTAAGGTAAGACAATGTGCATACAGGACCAAGCCAAGCTTGTGGTGGCATCAACAGTAGGATGAGAAAGTTAACACCAACCATCTGCTACAGTACATGAAGGTATATATCATGTGGTAAGTGGTACTATACCAAACACTGTGGCTTATACTCACCCAGCCTCTTGTTTAAGATTTTGGCTCATAACTGATCAAAGCAATCGTTAATTTAATGTTGAAACTGGCTTTCTGTTCTGATAATTAATCAGTTACCAGAAAAGAGCTAATGTGCATTTATACATACTTCAAAATAACAACCATGAAGTGCGGTACAAGTGTTTCACCTTCAAAGATGAAGCTTAGACTGTGCAAAAAGAGCACAGGCCCACACACATGCACAAGCAAGCACACATAGGACCTGACAAACCAGTGAGCCCAGTACCGTGTGTGCTGCTGTAGGTGGCTGAGCTGTCTGAATGTTTTCTGGCAATAGGTGCAGGTATAGGGCTTGGCCCCGCTGTGGATGCGGATGTGCTGGGACAGGTAGCTGGAGTTGGCAAATGACTTGGAACAGTGGGGGCACTTGTGGGGCTTGGCCTCGGTGTGGGACTTAGCGTGGATCTGCATGTCTGACTTGCTGAAGAATGTCACTGCACACATCCGACACCTTGGTGAGTGAGAGAGAGAAGAAAACCATTATGGCACACAAAGTGGTCAAGGAGATTTAGTGTGGGGTTACATGTGGACTTACAAAGAGATTCTTCCTCATATAGAGTCTGTAGTGGCAGATGACCTGTTCTAAATATCTAACATACATTTGTGATGCCTCAAACAATAATGCGTTTCTCTGATCTAAACATCTCTCCCTTACCTGTAGGATTTGGGGCCATCTTTGTTTGTATGATCATCCTCATCATTCGACAGGTCATATGGGTCAGCAGTGTGATGCTGTAGCACAATAACAACATATTGGTTATGACGAAAGGCACAAGAAATGACAATTCATGCTGTGTAAAAAAAATCAGTTACTGCTATAATCTCAGTCCATCAAACAAACAGCAAAAGAAAAAAAACACGAGACCCTCACCTGTCCACCAGCAGCGAGGTGTGCCAATATTAATGCATCACTTCCTGGAGGGAGGACCCCGCCCACTCCAGATAATCTGTTCATCACCTGTTTGCTCTTCCTGCCTCGCTTTGATGGTGTTGGCATGACAACTGCAGGAGGGACTGAAATGTCATCCTTCTTGTCTGGAAACGAGAAAATAGACTGAAGAGGCAGCATTTATTAACGATAATAAGACTGACTGTACACATCACCTTGGATCTTACCTCAGGACAAAAAATGCTTATGAAGAATACAGAGAAATTATTATAGCAAACTAATAACAAATTCTCTTCTGTCACTTTGTGCCATGGCACCCAGGAGTTAAGTGCTCAGTCCCACCTGCTCCAAACCCTGACAATACTGTTAATCAGGTCACAGCAGTTTGCATTTACATGTTAAAATGACTGCAGTGATGAAGCAGTGTGCCTGTTTTACCTGTACTCGAGGGGTGCACTGCAGACACTATCATGGTGGTGGCAGTGGGGGGTCCAGCTACAAATGACTGTGTGGAGGCAGTGGGGACCAGTGTGCCTTGAGGGGTGGTGATCACTAACCCTGCTAAGAGGAAAAGGAAAGCTGTCATCTGGCTGTGCAGTTGGTCAAAACAAACATTCCACATGAATTCTCTTCGCATGTCAAAAGTGCAGTGATGGAAAACATTTTTTTCCAACAATGACACAGTTTAAAGCCACAGAAATAATTTTAGGGTCAAATCCATAACACAAATACAACAGTTTTGTTATGATGCGCATACAAAGAAGATGATCAAAATCTAAATTACCACCAGTTGCAGTTACGTAGTTATAGTGTTCCTGACTCTCATGCATTCCTCTTAAGGTGATACCAACAAACAAATAAATGGCAAACGGGGGGTCCTTGACTGACGAAGTAATAATGACAAAGCATCCATTCACCTGCAGTCATGATGCCCGTTGAAGGAACAGGCACAACGGTGACGTTCTGGGAGGTGTGCGACTGGTGCAGGTGTCCCCCAACCGCACTTAAGGGCGTGTTGCCACTTCCGCCGCCACTGCCTCCTCCTCCTGCAGTACTCCCACCTCCTTCCTGTTTGGGGACCACCCGTACCCCAGCCCCTGCGTCCACTGAGCCAGGGATAGCAAGCACAGCCGTGGGGTAGTGGGGAGTGGAGGTGGAGGATGCAGAGGAATGAGGGAAGGAGGGAGCACTGGCCTTTTCTGGACCTAGCTGCTCTTTTGCCTTGTTCAGGAACATGGCGTTCTCGATCTAGACAGGGATGAGTAGAGGGATGGGTCATGTTAAGAGGAAGGAAGAGGAAAGGTGTGTGGGATGGGTGAGGGTGAAATGTTGGGAGAGATTTCATGAGGACAGCGGGGTAAAGAAGGATGAAATGCATGAGGAAAAAGCCAGTAGGGGATGAAAGAGTCATGAACAGGTGATGAAGATCCATGTGGGGAGGACATAGACGAGCAGAAGGTGGCAATGGGAGAGAAGAGAGAATGAAGGCATAGTGAGATGCAAAAAGTATATAAGAAACAAAGAGGGGTTGAAGGGGTGAGAGAAGAGAGGGACAGGGGTGATCATGTCATTGAGTCAAACACTGCCTTGTCAAGAGCTCATATTCACACGTCTATGTGAGGTTAAGCCAACTTCACCAAGTAAGTGAGCATTATTAGGTCAAATCATTGTCTGTGATGTTTAAAGCATTTCCATCTTTTGCCATAGCACAAACCACTATACCATGTGTATTTCAAGACAATTCCAACAATAAGGTTGTCTCTACCTGTCCTTGTACAGTGGGGATGGGAGACCAAAAGTATGATGAGTTGAAATGGGAATCGTCCATTATTTCTGTAATTAAAAAGCAACACACTTAGAAAACACCTGTCCTCCTCCTCCTCCTCCTCCTCCCCACTATGGTCTTAATGCATGGCTGTGTTTCAATCATCTTAGTTTGATTCCTTTCCATGAATCCTCTTCTCCATTGGTCAACATACTGAACATGCCACTTTTAAGGATCAATGTGGATGTACAGTGTACAATGGCTGTTACAAATCTGATGGGTTGCTTTTGTGTTTATCCCATTAGAGCTGTTTTGCAATAACATTTGATCAGATTTACAGAGAAGAGGATGTGAAAGGAATCAGGCAAAGATGTTCAATCCCAGGGATGAGACTGGACATCAATAATACCAGGGAAGGATATCAAAACAAGCGATAGGACAGAAAACACAGTCCATGCACCTCCTCACTAGTCTCTTACACAGTATGTGTTGCTATTAACAAACTACACAAAGTGGTTGGTTTATCAGCAATGTCAGTGGGCCAGGTTTTGGAAAACAATCCAATGTTGTGAGTCACCATAAGTAACACATTGGTGTCTTCTCCCAAACTAGATGCTAGTCCACTCTGTGGTGATAACATGCTTTCTAAGAGTGCACAGGGTTTGTTGAACCCAACACTCACTGTTTAAAAGACTATTGTGTGTCTTTCCATCAACAAACCCCTGACCTTCTGTTTCCTGACCATCTCCCACTGACACACAAATAACATGTTTTTTTGTCACACAAAGAGGGAAGTTTCAGCTTCACTGTTTTGTGTTGGCATGCATTTACATTTTAATTCCCACATACTTTGCTGCTGTTATAGATCAATTATAAAACGAGTTTTAAGGTGGTTGCATGTGAAGGTTGGTAATGTCATGCATAGTTATATTGCTCATGTGACAAAGGCATGCATGTAATTACATGTTAGTAAAGCTCTGAGCATTAACTCAACTGTGTTATGCTTGTTGGGGGAGTACTGACCCATGAAAAGTAAACTGCAGCGACAATAAACTGTATCTATATTTCATGAAGAACAGTGGCAATGCATAACTCAGGACATGTTTTACATTATTTTTCATGAGCCTCCTCTCCTCTCTGCAGCTGCACGACCTTTATATAATGATGGAGCAAGCTTTTCAGAAAAATTCATCACATAGATTGTAGCTATCTGGCGAAATAAAAAGGGGGTGATATTAGTGCAATACTAAGTCAGTGTTCCAGTGCTATGAGAGCCATTTTTGACGAGGGGCACAAGCTGGCTCCAAAACTGTGGCACTGCTAGCGGCGGGCTAACGTTAGCAGTGATAGATGAAATATTTTAAATATATCAGAAATGGTTTAACTTAATGCTCCCCTTGCACAGCCCTCAGCCTAGATGTTACACTGCACCAAACCAGCTGCCAAGAGCTTAATGAGGCATCTGGGTTAAAAACAAACATGGCTAGTGTTAGCTGGTAAACGCAACAAGACAAGGGGAGCTAGCGAACTTGCCTCCATTAATTTTCTCCTTTTGTTCGCTGGCTTGCTCTAGCTACAGGGCCTGTATATTCATATGCTTAACTAGCTTGCCGCTTAGTAAACATAAACATCCTCGCTCCCTACGCCTCCATTCCTCACTCCCTGCTCATCTCGCTCAGAGAAAATAAAAAAACAGAAAAAAGTCTCGCATAAAAAAAGAAAAAAAAAACGTTGACGCTGTTGCCTCTGTAGGAGACGCAGCTTCAAGCAGACTTCCGGCGGTTGGGACGACGGCGCTCTCAGACACACTGAAAATAATAGTTAATTAACAACCGAGTAATAACTCCTGTGTTAATTACCGGTGAGATCGATCCCCTGTCAACCCCCCCGGAGCTTCCTCGGGTCGGGACAGTTGGGAAACTTTGTCCAAATCCGCCCCTCAAACCCCTCAGATATGCCTTTTTTTCTTCGTTTTTTCCTTTTTTTCCCTCCAGCTTTTCGCAGCAGCGACAAATTAAACAGAGGTAACGAAAGAGGTTTCCGGTCACGTCTTTCAAATTAAAATCCACATTGATTAATAGCTATTGCGTGGTCAGGTAACACTTCATATTATACGTCTGTAAATCCCAGTTTATCTCCTAATAATGTCCAAATATGTTTCTCGTAAAGAACCATATACGTCTGTACTAACCATAGGTAACATTAGACAGTGATCAGTTTTACTATTTCCAAACGCTAAACTAAACTTAAGACTTTTATTCGGAAATCAGGTGAGCTACACATGGAAAGTGTGAAATTAGTCTACAAAGAACTAAACAATCAGAATAAATGAAGTATAACCTATCAAAGAACACATAAAATAACTCGAATTGATATTTTATATATTTCATAAAAATTCCCCTGGACAGAAATTGTAGATTCAACACAACTCTGAAATAGGCGAACTAAAAACTATTATGCATCACCTCACCAAATCAGTTTTCATATTCCGTTTATTCTGTATTTATTCTACTTTTATTCTATTTTAGTTTCTTAAATGGTATGGGCATTCAACATTAGGTGAGAGAGAAACAGTATTTCGATTTTTCTGTATGTCCTGCACATATTGTGAATTGACAATAAAAATCTTTGACCTTGATCTTAAAAGAAAGACTATGGTACTTCTCTCTCTTTCTTTCTTTTTGGTTAATATTTTAATTATGAAGACAAAATCCTCTATTTCCTGTACTCGTTTGGCTATGTGTAGCTGACTTGACAAAGCTACCAATGTCCCTACAGTGACTTCCGGTGTATTAATTATCCCGCCGTTGTCTGAAGATGTGTACATCGCTATGATTATCAATTAGTCATCATTATTTCTATGGGAAATTTATGCTTTAATTGGATTCTACAGCTATATTCTTTAGTACAACACAGTTCTCAGGCAGCCTATTTCTGCTGCAGTGTATACATTATCCACTTTATTAATATTATTTTACAGCTGTATTTAGCTGTCGTCATCAACTAAATTATGGCATGTGTCACAAAGAAAAGCTAAAGGTGAGGAAGCAGAGCTGTGGTAATAGATGCTGGTTGGAATCCCTGGACAAAAATATATGGAGATGAAAAGAAAGTATCAACTCACAAATAAACATATCCAGGTGTTAGAATGGCCAAGTCAAAGTCCAGACCTGAATCCAATCGAGAATCTGTGGAAAGAACTGACAACTGCTGTTCACAAACGCTCTCCATCCAATCTCACTGAGCTCGAGCTGTTTTGCAAGGAGGCATGGGCAAAAATTTCAGTCTCTCGATGTGCAAAACTGATAGAGACATACCCCAAGCGACTTACAGCTGTAATCGGAGCAAAAGGTGGCGCTACAAAGTATTAACTTAAGGGGGCTGAATAATTTTGCACGCCCAGTTTTTCAGTTTTTTATTTGTTAAAAAAGTTTGAAATATCCAATAAATTTCGTTCCACTTCATGATTGTGTCCCACTTGTTGTTGATTCTTCACAAAAAATTACAGTTTTATATCTTTATGTTTGAAGCCTGAAATGTGGCAAAAGGTCGCAAAGTTCAAGGGGGCCGAATACTTTCGCAAGGCACTGTACATCAGCACTAAACAGCTGCTCCCAGGTGTGTTAATGTGAACAGGACACCTGAACTGTAAATCAGCATTGTTTATTAGGACCCCTCTTTGTATCTGAACTATGTTCTTCATGGGGTCCTCATAAAACATTATGCAGCTACAATTCAAAAGCAACACAACGTATTCACAGATGAGAATAAAAACTGGAGCAAAAATACAACACAAACACATGCACAAAGCAGATGTGTAACCAGAAAATATGAAAGCAAACTGTAGAATATATAATTATTCTGCTTTCAGAAACAGTGAATGATAAGTTTTGTCTGCTATTGCAATTTAATGTCAAGTATAATGTGTACAGAACTGCAGAATAACATCTTTACAACAAATCTCCTGAAGTACACAGGCAGTAATTAAAATGCAATAAAGTGGTACCTTGCATTTCTGCAGAACGTCATCAGCAAACTACAGCAGGAAGTGAAATAACACTAAAACTTAAATACATGTATAATGAAATACAGGCTGCCGTTAGTAAGAGTTAGTACAGTTGGTAATGGTGAGTTGTGAAGCCAACAGCGCTACAATGATACTGTATGAAATATAAATACACATGTAGTGCCACTTCAGAGCATCATTACAGAACCACATAACTTACATTTCCTCTACAGCTAACAACAGATCATGTCTTCCTACTTTGGTAAATCCACAGTGCAGCAGAACAACTAATGTCCTGACCAAACACATAAATGACAGTTTAACTGATCGATATCAGTGCACGCAGTAACAGTAGTGTTCATCAAATAAATAAAAAGTCACCATCAGAAAGTAATTTCAATACGTGACTGTACCTAATCAGTAGTGCAGAGATGTTTCAGACAAACTGAGCATCATGGGAGGAAAAGAGAAAGGACCATTCTTGTTAAAATACCTGCCACCATCCACCTCAGTCAAACAAAACCAGTCATACAATTCATTTTCTAAACACAAGAAACGGTTATTAGTGAGGTAGAGGGTGACTGGGTGATAGGGTTATGGTATAAGGCCATTTGGGACACCTTTTAGAAGCACCACCTCAGAGCGAGCTCCTACATCCTTCATTAAACCAGGGTGACCAACGTGATGACTCTAAGATGAGAAATGCCTGACATACAAAGAGGTTTTCACTTCCTTACAAAAGATTGTTTGACATTAAAAAGAAATAAGTTAACAAATAAGTAAAGTACACAATACAGCAAGAAGAAAATATTTGTCTCATTCCTGACCAGTCCTGTCTTAAACATCCCTTTCCCTGAAGTACAAGCTAACATCATCTGGCAGTTAGTAATGTGATTGTTGAGCACCTCGCCCACATCGCTTCACACCACACTTTCATTACAACGATGATACACAGCTCAGCATTTCTATACATTTATCATATACAGCAATTCTACAGTAGTTTTCCTGCCGCTACAATAGGTTATACTTTACATCACATTTAGCTTTAATGCCACAAGCCACACCTTAATGAGAGCTGCTACATAAGTGGCCATAACAACAAAAAAGTACCACTCCAGTGAAGGTATACATCCAGTGAAGAGTATGACTGGGATTACTGGACTGAAGGGTGCCAGAGCCTCACAGGAACCTGAACTAGAAGATCCAGGTTCAGGCTCCTGTTTGGGCATAAATGTGTGAGTTTTGCAGCTGGTCTCGACCTGCGACCCCACTGTTGAGGGCGGAGGTCAGAGACTTGGAAACTCAGTGCCAAGGTGAAGCTGTTGTGGTTACACCTGGTGGACCCGCAACTTACTGTTGATTTGTCCTTTAATCTGTCACCCATCTGTAGATAGTGTATGTGTGCCTTAAGCAAAGGGTCCTAAAAATTCTCTTCATAAAATCTTAAAAATATTGACAGTGATTCAGACTAGAAAACATAAACAGACACAGAGGATGGAGAACAACCATCGATGACCACTTCAAAGACTAAATGATTTCCCTAAAGAAGCACAATGGGAAATGACTGACGACTGCCTGTGGTTTCAGTCTAGTGTTACACAATGTCATGCTAGTAGCAGTAGTAAATGAAGGCTCTGAATGTATGTTTATATTAAACTTTCATATTAAGATGCACTTAAGGTTTAGCAGAAAGTGCACACAGGCAGTTATGGAGGACATTTAAGTTAACACAGACAGAGGAGAGAGAATTAGACTTCCTTATTAATGTGATGCAAACACTTAAAATGTGACACACTGTAAAAGAGAACAAGGTAGGAAAGGGCAGAGTGTAAAGACCAAGTCTGGTGAAATTTTAAAAGTGCAGGGAAACACAGAGGCTACAGTTCCAGCTGCATGTTAAAATCTGGTCACATCAATGTGAATCAAGGAATCATGGAAAGTACTGTAATATGCATGCTTTATGTTTGTACTGTGGCACCAGGACACATACAGTATGGACAATAACATCTGTAACTGTAGCCATTTACTTTAGACAGGGCTGGGCATCAGTGACAAATACAGTATAAACTGAAAGTGTTTTAAAAACACACAAACCTCACAGCCAGATGTGATATGAGACAGACATGGGGGAGGAGGAAGAGGATATGTTAGTAGACTCATGCAAGGAGTCCAGGCAGCAGATGAGACAGAGGGACAGTGGATCTGCCTGGTCACCGGATTGGTTGATTCACTTCAGCCTGTACGAGAGGTCACCTGCAGAACGGAGGGAAAGTTCACTTTCAGTGAATCATTTCTTAAATTATGGCTGAAATAAAAAAAAAAAATCCCTGGAAGTAACAAACCCACAGAGAACAACCACAGAACTCTGCAGCTCAGTAGCTCACCATTTTGGTTTTATGGTACATTTACAGCATGGTTCAGCAACAGAAGGCAGCTTCTCTCGTCTCTTCTCACTGACCAAGTGTGCAATGAAGAAACATTTCTCAGAAGTTGGTGGACGGACCAAACAATGCTCAGAGGAGAGTAGATACTGGACCTGCATCGTCATGTGGCTAGAAACATGACTCCAATAGGATATTGTAGGCAACTGTTTGCTTACATACCATCCACTATAAACTCTATGTCAGGTCTGTGCATCTTTCAGCTTGTTTTGGAGTTTTACTGCTATCTGAGGGGCACAATATCTGATTATGGATGTTTGATTTTCATTCTAGTGTCCTTCATGACGTGTGTTAGCAGAGCAGAGACCAGTGGGAAACCCCGCAATTTACTACAAGAACAACAAATTTAAGTTTAAATGACAGTGTAAACCCATGGTTCTCAAAGTGTGGGGCGCGCCCCACTAGTGGGGAATAAAGACATGACAGGTGGGGTGCAATGAACGGAGAAAATTAGAAATGGGTCATTAATATAAGTAAATTAAAATAACATCAGTTCGGGGCCCGGGAGGAAAAAGTGGAACCATAGTGGTCAGCCCTTAATGACAAGGCTCCATTGTATCTTAAAGACCTCATAGAGCCTTATCATCCTAACAGAGCACTTTGCTCTCAGAGTGCAGGTTTACTTGTGGTTCCTAGAGTCCACAGAAGTAGAATGGGAGGCAGAGCCTTTAGCTATCAAGCTCCTCTCCTATGGAACCAACTCCCAGTCTCAGTTCGGGAGGCGGACACCCTCTCTACCTTTAAGATTAGACTTAAGACGTTCCTTTTTGATAAAGCTTATAGTTAGGGCTGGATCAGGTGACCCTGAGCCTTCCCTTAGTTATGCTGCTATAGGCCTAGGCTGCTGGGGGGCCCCATGATGCTCTGAGTTTCTTTCCCCTCCCCTCCCCTC